ATGATGTTGTTAGCACTGTTGTCATTGTTACTGATAACTTGCTTCGTTGATCTTATTCGAGTAATTGGCACCTATAATTATGCAGGTGCTAATTTGGTTGATTCCACATGGCCACATCAGAAAAGTGAGGGAGTCAACAAAACTCATGATTTTGAGGACAAGATATTGCATTTCTGAACTATTCAATGCTGAGAAAAGTAAGGTGTTATTTATTGGTTGGAGTAATCTCTGTTGCTATCAAGCAGGAACCAATGGTGACTTTGGTTTGTCATGATTCAAGGCAGTGCTCTTGGTGATGTGTTAGTCATATCAGCCCCAGGAACTCAAATGGCTTCAGAAAAATCTCAGTGGTGAGTGCATGACCCTTGTTGGCTCATCTTTACCAAAAGAGCATTTTTCCCTACTTTAGTTCAAGCCATAGCTTATAACTGGCCAAACCCACGTTCATACATAGTTTGTGTCCTATCTATTATGATATCCCATATCATGATTCTAGAAAGTAGACCATTCAACTTACTAATTCAATTAATGCAGTACACTTATTATTCAGTTCATTGGACTGTTTTAACCTACAATTCTTTTCAAGCAAGGCTATGTTTCTACTTTGTTAGATATGATGTCGACAAACTTTCAGCTACATTTTAGATCCATTGACACCCTTGATACAAGGAACAGCAGGTGTTTTGTGGCTCCAATAGACTGCTCCCTGATGGTTTGCCTTGACCTCCTTCGGTCCTTCCTGTTGTGGTGCAGCTCATGCCTCCACAACTTCTCGTTGTCTCCACTGGTCGCTGGAGGAGGGTACATGAGGGTGAGGGCAGTGAGCCACTGCTCGCTGTGCGTGCCTTGGCCGAGATATGTGAGAGGGCACTGTGGTGGGATGCGTGGTTCACACTGCATGAGGCCATTCAGGCACTTCATGATAGGCTATTTTCCATCGATTACATGGAGCAAAGGTTGGAGCACTTTGAACTGCAACCATACCAATCCATTAATGCGAGTATTGACCTGAACCTTTGATTGTTATGGATCAAGCATAAGATGAATTGAGAGGAGTTGATTAGACAATGCCTCTAGGATAATTGCATTTTTTTAGTCCAAGCTGTAAGGAGTGTCAATATTTTCTTCTTTTGGTCAATCTTTCCCATATTGAGAGACAATTATGCATTTTTCATGAAAATTTGAGAAGTTGCACAATTACCAGGGGAATGAATTGTGCGAAAATAGCTATCTTTTTCCATAGCTGGGCACGTGTAAAAGTTACATTTCAAAAAACTGCATGTTGATATCATATTTTTCATGTTTTTCTTATTACATTAGATTATTTGTTGTTCCCATTGCAACGCACGGGCACTCACCTAGTAAACACATAAGCCTTAACCTGTGAATCCCCTCCCAAAAAACATACTTACCCCTTTTGGTGAATTTATTCGGTCGAACTGTAAGAAACCATTGATTGGAGCAACTAGTAGAGTAAAATTTTCAAAGCAAACTGTAATTGTTCAATTTCACTAAGGACGCATAAACCAAATAGTAATTTTTTGAAATCTACGACAATAACAAATATAGATTGTTAAAAGTATAATTTTAAATTGGTTTTACATAAGGATTTAAAATGAATCTGTAATTATTTCTTCCATGTCAACCATAGTACCATTATTTATAAATGCAAAAAGGTCCATCAACCGGCCGTGCGTGGTGGATGAGGAATTTTTTTATCGGTACAACTTGGACGTACACAATCCACACAACTCCACACTCACACCACACACACATACATGCGTGCGCGTCTGTACACACACAAAGAATAGATTGGGAGGCTCTCTAGCCTCAAGTGTGCCAGAAACATGCAGTATCACCAAACGCGCATGTGCATGTGTACCCTAATTTTTCTATAGAAATTTTAGAAAAAAAATACGACACCAGGGTTTGAACCCTGATGAGTAGCTTCCCGCTGGACAGCCCTACCACTAGACCACATGTATTGAGGATAGACCGAGTTGGTGATAGGAAGAAGGTTGGTGAGACAAAGAAGATAACGATGATACACTGTTTGATGGGCCCTATCAAAACAATAGCTATAGTGTTAAATCTCAGTCCATTTTATTTGACTAAATAATCCCACCCAAACAAGAGTAGAGGATCAATTCATTCCTCACAACGAAACACTAGTAGGACGACCCTATATCTGGAAACATAGATATAATCTTCCTCTCACATGTCTTCTCAAATCAAAGGCACGATTCCAGGGAATAGGTAGAACGATTCCTAGTCGAAATGTTTGGCTAATTTATATTACCTTTGATCAGATGAAACGATTCCTAGGTGGAACCTTTTTTTTTAGACAAGAAGAATTATATTAGATAATAGCTGGGTACATCAGCACGTTACAAGCACTATGGAATACACTACACATATCCAGAAATTAATTTTTATCTAAATTGTACCCACGATGTGAATAGCTCCTGATCTCAAAACTAAACCTGTATAACGTTTTATATGAATGACCGCACAGGCAAACACTTGGCAAATGACCAAGAATAGATGCTCAACGAACGACGATCAACATTAGGCGGAGTTGAGAAACTTCTTCTTTCTTGTGTCTTTCTTCTTCTTCTTTCTGTCACCGAAGAATTAGGAAGGTTGATCTTAAACTTATTTTCATTAGTCCTTCATCATAATCAGATCTAACCATAACAAAATGAAGAAGAGACCGGAGAAAATTATTATATGGCGACGACACCATCTCCGTCACTACAAGATATGTGACGGTTTATGACAATTAATCTTTATCATAATACATGGAATTTATGTCACATATTAGCATGTGATACCCGCATGACGAAAAAACTAGCGTCAAAGACCATGCGCCTTAAACCATGTTTTATGTCGTTCAGATGTTGGTGTCACAAATGTATGACATTGGTTTTGATGTCATAAAAGTTTATGACAATTGGTTTTAAGTCACAATTCCTTACACCATGCCACATAGCAAGCAGGCTTATAATGGGCCAAGCCCATTGTTATGGCTCATTTTTTGGCCTGGCCCATTTCTTGTTTCCCTGCTTTTTCGGCCTCTTTAGGCCCATGTACCAAGCAGGCTTCTAATGGACCAAGCCCATTGTTAAAGCTTATTGTTGACCTATATTTATTTTGGCCCAACCCATCTAATTTAGGCCGGTCACACGAATGTTTTTGGGCTAGCCCATATTAATGTTTTTGGGCTAGTCCATATTTTCATGGGCTGATTATACTGAGCCTACACAAAAATACTTTTTATTATGCAACCCACACTACTTTTTTCTGGGTCCCATTTTTCTCAATTACAAAATCATAAGCCACGATTTTATTTTCAGATCCACATTCGAGACAATACTATTTGAAAACAAACTCATATTCGGACATGCATTTTGAACATATAATCAAGAAGCACATTCAGTAGACCAATTCAGAAGTAACATACGTATATGATCACATTCTATTAAAACTACTAACTACACCCCTAACGAAAGACCTGCAGCAAAATATAACATTGTGACTAGCCGGCAAACACCACCATAGAAAAATACGCCATTACAACTCTATTGGTGAGCTGCGACACCAGGGGCTCCCTCAGCTCCCTCCTTCGCCTTGCAAGCTCCTTGTAGATCTTGTTCCTGTGCTAGAACTGCAGAAAATTACAAAGCCTCGAGTTAACATTCTCCAATCAATGATGCAGACAATAACAACAGCAGAAAATCATGCATGAAAAAGAAGGGCAGCCAAGAGCACGAAAAATCTAGGCAAGCGAACTCAGCTAACGTGAGGATTAGTACTTCACTAATCACTAGTACACCAATAATCAGAAGGTAATAGTGGTGGCCGCTAGACGATAACAACAGCTATACAGTTCAACAATTGACAAGCAACAGGCCACGGTGATTGAGAAGAGAAGTGATTGAATAGCATAAACAGATGTATGATTGGCACCCAAATTATACATATAATCTGCTTCCAATAAGATAACTTTTCTCTTAACTTGCCCACATATCATTTTTGACAGAGTTAAGATCCTCTTGTTCTCAGTTCATCCATTCTTATTTCACAAAGAAATTCACAAAGAAAAAAGATAATGGATCTGGATGTACCTGTCGGCTGAATTCGAAATTAATCCCCGGTGAACCTCTACATGATTGACAGCCAAACATGCACATGTGTGTAGAAAGGCTCAAACGCACAAACCTACATTCAGAAGCACACATCACTCATTTCATATTACCTGAGATAAAGTGAGCATAGGACTGGTGTAAGCAACATGGTTATGTTTCTGCCATTCGCATGTTCAGGTCCTTCTCTCAAGGTTTCCATAACAGTATTACAAAAATAGTCATCACAATCAATTAGTTAAAATCTAAGCACAAGGAAGCAAACTAAAACTGAGCAATAGCCACACATCGGTGAAGTTAAAATATTATGTGACACTTCAAAAATAAACATAGAGCAATCATGCATGCAACTGATGGAAAAAAGTTTCACAAAGTACTATATATGATTATAACTACTATTTTAATATTTAAAGGCTGGCTGCATATGAGAAATGTAGAAAAGGGCACTTAATTAAATTTTTCTGAACTAGGCAGTAAGCAACAGTTAATTTTGCTACCAGACATCCTTAACTGGAACTAAATAAATTCATGAACTAGGCAGTAAGTAATAATACTTAATTTTGCTATCAGACGTCCTTAACTGGAACTGAATAAATTCATAAGATGAGATCGTCTCAGCACCACTTATTTCTCATATTTTCCTCAAATTTCAGATCCTTAATGTCAATTCCAAATAGTCAAGTGTTTCAATGCATATATATGCATCTTATTTAGAATGATAGTAGCGACCCAGGTTACCAGGAAATCACAGCATCTGCATCTTATTCTTTGTGTAACAACAAAAAGAGGAAATAGCAAAACAGTGGGGTTGGGGCATCAGAAACTGTGCATCTGTGCTCCATCCTGGCAAAGGTCCTACATCCTGCGCAACATGTTCTCCAGTGGCGTGTTCTGCTCCTGGGGGCTCCACGTAGCCGACGTCTGAAACCAAAATTCATATAGAACAAAAAGGCAGAAAAAGACATCAAGCAAAAAAAACAAAATCGAATACACAACAGCTAAAGACGGCAGCGGTGATGGTAGGACTTACGGGGACCCAGGTCCTATAAAGGTCGGTCTCGTCAACGCCGGGCATGACCTCCTCGACGAAGTATCGCGGAGCTGAACGACCGCGTTCTCGGAGCATCATCAATGACTTGTCCCGCTTCTCCCCAGCCGTCCCGTCGCAGCTGCCCCACTGCCTATGGCTGTTGAGATTTCCTCCACGATCTGAGATGCGTGGCGCTGCCGTTGTCCCCAAGATGTGTGATGCCGCCGCCGCCATCCCCGAGCTGCGCGAAGCCGCCGCCGCCGACGTGATGCGCGCCAGTGCTGCCGCCGCCTTAGGGTCTACGGTTTAGGAGATGCTGGAGAGGCTGACGCCATACGACTTAGGTGGATGCTGGAGAGGCTGACGAGGCAGGTGACGGCGCGTGGCAGTGCTAGCAGCTGAGGAGGCGGCGCCAGATCCGGATCTGAGAGGCGAAGGGGAGGAGTGCGGCATTGGACGACGGATGGGAGACGCTGAAGAATAGGGTTTCGGAGCAGCAGGCGTCGGTGCGGACAAGTTTATATTGGATGGAGCAATGATGACCGACCGTTCTACCAGATCGAGCGGCTGTGGTTGAGTGGAGTTTTGGGCCGAATACATAACCAGCCTATTCGCTAATTGGTTTCAGCCAGCCCAAACCAGTCAATCAATAGTGTTTTTCTCTCACAATAAACCAGCATCAGCCAATCCAAATCAGCCCAGAAACCAACCAGCGAACAGGCCGATTATGGGCCGAGACGAGATTGTCTCAATCCTTCACAGGTATCTATTTGTTATGATATGATTAGTGAGTACATAAATAAATAATGTAAATAACTAGGATTTAGTATCCTTCTTCAATATTATGGAAACAAGTTACTCAATAGCATATTCATCAGTGCCACCCGTCAAAAAGAGAGATAATAATATTGAAGTTAGATTTTGAGAAGGCATTTGATACAATTGAACACTCCACTATCATTCAGATGATGACTCACCTAGGATTGCCTGATAAATGGATTCAGTGGGTGCACAATATATTATCATCTGGCTCTTCAGCTGTGCTTCTAAATTGCATCCCTAGTAAATTATATAAATGTAAGAAAGGGGTTCAACGGGGTGACCCTTTGTCACCATTATTATTTGTGCTGGCTGCTGAACTTCTTCAGATCATTGTCAACCATGCCTGCAACCTAAACCTGCTATGTAAGCCCTTACCACAACCAGAAGAAGATTTTCCTATAGCGTAATATGCTGATGACACTTTGGGCGTGTTCGCCTGGCTTAAAGCCAGCCGGCTGGCTTGTTCCGCCACTCACGAAATCACTTTGTTCACGTCCTGCCAGAACAGTATTTTTCTCTCACAACAATCGGTAGAATACAGTATTTTTCAGATCTGCCAACAGGGCCTTTACATCGCTACAAGGTGATGCTAGGCAACTATTTTTCTCAAAGCCATACTCCATAGCTTTCTTTGAATCGGATGAGTTTAAAGGTGAACTATAGAAAATCCCAAATGTACCCTATCAATGTCACTCCAGAGAAGATGGTCCTCCTTGCAAACACTTTTGGGTGTGATATTGGATCAATGCCCTTCACATATCTTGTTTTGCCCATGGGGACTACCAAGCCAAAAATTGAGGACCTAGCTCCTATGATGGATAGGGTGGAAAGAAGATTATCACCGCTGCTCTACTTGGTTGTCACATAGTGGGAGACTTGAAATGGTGAATTCAGCCATTACACCTATCACCACCTATGCAATGAGCACCATCAAACTACCACAAGGAGTGATTGAGAATATTGACAAGGCAAGGAAGCAGTGTCTTTGGAGAGGGAATTTGAAAAGAAGAAAGGTGGGAACTTAGTTGCATGGGAAGCGTAATGTTGTCAAAGGAAAAAGGAGGACTAGGCATCATAAATCTTAGGCTACTGAGAATGATGCATTGCTTATGAAACATCTAAGCAAGTTCTATAACAGGGCTGATCTTCCATGGGTAAGAATGGTATGGACCGGTACTATACAAATCGAGTTCCTCATGCGGCTGGGGAGGTTGGATCTTTTTGGTGGAAGGATATATTGAGGTTGAACTGTGTTGTTCAGAGGCATTGCTAAATGCACAATTGGCAATGGTCAATCGGTTTTGTTTTAGGGAGATATTTGGATGAATGATCAGATCATTGCAACAAAATACCCAAGACTTGCATCCTTTGCAAAATCAGAGGAAATCTCAGTTTATGCGGTCATGCAAGCAGAGGACTTAGACTCACTCTTCATGCTACCTTTCTCCAATGAAGCCTATGCTAAATTTGTGAGTTTGCAAGAGGAATTGCAGATTATGGAATATGATGAGGAGGGCGTCGACAATTGGTCACCCATCTGGGGTGACAAATATAGCTCCAAAAGATTCTATTCATATGCCTTTAAGGAACTAGATGCACACCCTATTTTCAAAATAATATGGAAATGCAAATGCAGCCCACAAGTTAAGTTCTTTGCATGGTTAATTTTGGTTGATCGTCTTAACACCAAAGATATGCTCCAGAGGAGGCATCTAAACATTCAGGGGACCCCGACATGTGTCATGTGCGCAGCAGGGAGTCTGGAGACCATAGAGCACATATTTTTTGAATGTTCTTTTGCACAAGACTGCTGGTCCAAGCTTGAAATCAATTGGGACCTCTCTCTGAATCCCTGGATGATTCATTCAAGCAAGATCGCCCACCGAGTTACCATTCTTCACTTTGAAGCCACGCGCCATAGCAACATGGGAGCTCTGGAAAGTCCGAAATGATAAAGTGTTTGCAAGACGTGACCCAACATTAGCACTTTGGTGGTCGAACTTCAAGAGTCAATGTTTAATACAATCTGTAAGATTCAAAGATGATCTTAGGTCATCCTTTTGTGCTTGGCTAGATGCCTTTAGTTAAGCTTTGTAAGTATGTACCTGTACCTGTACTCCCTCTTTTATAAATGAAATCAAAAAGGCACTGTGGGGATCTCCCCCACAGTTTTTGTGTCAAAAAAAAGTTACTCAATAGCACCGATATAGTTTGGGTCCGAATGAATAAATTATAATAACACGAATATAAAGACTTAATTGTAATCAAATATGAAAATAAATTAATTAATTATTGTGGTGAGATCAATAGCTTTTGTCCTATTTTTATAATCAATACCATCCATGTATATAATAGATTTTGTCTTCTTTGTGGTGAGATCAATAGCTTTGTTTTGGCCAAAACTCATGTATTCTTGCCGAAGAGATTGAATCCCGACCTGTCGCGAGGTGGCACGTGGGAGCAAGAACTGGACTACATGGTATTGATTAAGAAGGAGCCATGGCTGAACATTAAGTGCTTTGTTAGGGATTGCTCGAACTTGTACTTTACTGGCTGTAGGGTCGAGATGGCGGACTAGAGGGGGTGAATAGTCCTTTCTAAAATTTAATCGCGCTGGCTAACCAATATAAGTGCGGAATTAAAACTATCGATCTAGTCAAGACTACACCCATCTATCTAAGTTATCAAGCACCTTGAAAAGATCCTAAATAAGCAACTAAGGTGTCGGGCTAGCCAGAGCTCACCTAACAAATCTAGCTTGCAAGATCACAAAAACATATGCATTAGTACTTTGCAACTTGGGAGCTCCTACACATGCTAGTGATGCAGAAGCACAAAGCTCCTAAGCTCACTAGCAATGCTCAATAACAAGGCTACACAAGCCAAATTAGAGAGCACAAATCACTTAGCTACATAAACTAAGTAATGTGACTAACAAGGTTACTAAAACCAAATTAGCCACGCAAAGGAGCTATTTCTATGCTACACAAGCAAGAAGGTAACTAGCAAGCTACTAAAGCTAAACTAGTCACAAGAGCAACTACACAATTAATGAAAGTAATACATGCTTGTGTTGAGCGGAATGCAAACCATTGAGAAGATGATGAAGACAATGTTGACACCTTGATTTTCTCCTAAGGTTCACTTGGTTGCCACTGCTGCTGCTTGCGCAGCCGGGCGGTGCTACCGCCGGCCCCACCGCACTGCCACACTGCGACTCGCCCCGCGCCGCACCGCAGCCGCTGCCGATGTCATCGCCTCGCCATCATGTCCGTGCCTCACTCTACACCTCTATGTCGCTGCCGGCCCAGTGCGATGCCGCCTCTGCCGCGCACACGTGGTCGGGCTCGCCGTCGCCTTGTCATTAATGGCACTGCGTTAAGTAGGCCATGCCGGTCGCGAAAGCGCGCACCTGTCTGCTAGTGCCTATGCGTGGGCCTCCACGTTCACACCGACCGCATTCCGCCAAGGCGAGGACGAGCCGAGCCCACCTGCCTTGCCCCGTCTCTCTCTTTCTCCCTCTGCTGCCGCCATGAGCCGCGCCATCAAATTCCCCAGCGAACGATCACCTCCATTCAATTCATCGCATCCATGGCTTCACCATCATGTCTTCCCGCTGTCCGACCCCACCCAACCTTGAAGCGCGTACGGCCAAGCTCCAATTTTGGAGTTTCCTCGCCGTCGTGCCGATAAGGCCGCATCCGGCCGTGGATGTGGGCAGCCCTCCTACCGTCCCTCTAAAACCAATTCACCTGCACCACTAACTTCGCCTTGCCTCCCTCTCCACCTTACGCATGTCAGCAGAACCGCTACCGCCTCCCCGTCGTTGCTGATGCGACCGTGCCGCCACGGTGCACCACCGCACGGCTCGGCCACATGTGATCAGCCCTTCTCCACCATCCTCCACCCTAATCGTCACCTCGGCTAGGTCCACAGTAGTCTACTAATGCTCCCTCGCTAGGCAGTTAGGCTCTTAGGTGCTCTAGATCGTTGGGTGTAAGGTCAAGATGGCGACTAGATGGGGGGTGAATAGTCTTTCTAAATTTAATTGTGTCGGCTAACCAAAACAAGTGCGGAATTAAAACAATTTTACCTAGCCAAGACTACACCCCTCTATCAATGTTCATAAGCACCTTATAAAGATCCTAATTAGGCAATAAAGGTGTCGGGCTAGCTAGAGCTCACCTAACCAATACTATAAGTAAGGTCACACAAACCTATGCCACTATTACTTCAAGCAACGAGGGAGCTCCTACACATACTAGTAAGCAAAAGCACAAAGCCAACTAAGCTCACTAGCAATGCTCAATAACAAGGCAACCAATGCCGAATTAGAGAGCGCAAATATTAAGCTACACAAACTAAGCAATGTGACTAACAAGGTTACACAAGCCAAATTAGCCACGCAAGGG